GATGACAACGTATGTACAAATGTGCTTGATACAATTAATGTATGGATTTTTATAAGAGTTGTAAGAGCCCCCCATAAAATGATTTTTTTAAATAAAAACGAAGAACCCAGTATCTAAGCTGCCCAAATTCAAATCTGTTTCATAAGAATAATCTTCAGCAAGACACTTAACTTTTCCATACCTCAATTTGTCATTTGTAAAATGGGATAACAGGAGTAGCCAATTCATATTAATGGAAGGTTAATTATAAGGGTATATAGAAAGCACTTGATTATTACTAGCACTATTATTATTATTGCCATCAGAAGCAGAATCATCATCAAATTCATCATCGTAAAAATCCATACATCCAAGATTTACCCTGGACGAGTCTGGTCCAGCTGAAGAAGCACAGTTTAACCACATTAAGGAGGTATCTAAGAAAGAAGCAGATTAAACCCAGACAATAAATGCTGGTGGGGAGATGTCAAACTTTTGTCCATACACGAATTTGGTAAATAACATAAATGACCAATTCAGTTGTTCTGCAAAAAAAAATTTTTTAAGCACTGTTCTCATCTCAATTGAGGATTGGGCATATATCATTATAAGCTTAGGATTCTTCAGCAGGCAGTTCAATAAAATAAAATCTCTGTGAAGGTGGTATCTCTGTGAAGGTGGACTTGGTACACATCACTTTAAATTAAAGAACAAAAACGGTCCTACATGTAGCAGTTAACATTTTTACATAAAGATTTTATTTGTGAATCATTGCTTAGTAAATCAAACCTGAAAATAAGCCATTATTTCTTTAGCAATACAAGAAAACTGTGATTGTTATTATTTCTCTAGATTCCAGCACAGCCCTGCTAATATCCAAAGGTAATCTTGTCAAGTTCCAGGCAAATTCCCATGACCCTCGAAGACTCATTCTGGAGGAGAGGGCAATCTTCTCACTACTTCTTCAGCCATTCGCAGGTAAGCTTTGGCCTGTGAAAAAACAGACTCACACTCATTTGTTCCATTTTTCACCCCAATCAAGAATCTAAATGGCTTGTGAGTTCTGTTTAACATAGTTGTCCTCTGAATTTGACAGTAAAAGGGTGAGTGTGACAAGGCGATTTAATAGAGAGGAGATACTGCTATGTGCATTACAGGTGGGCTGGGAAGGAAAAAATTTTTAGGCTACCTATTTGGAAAGGGACTTTCTCAAAAAATATTTAGTATCTGAAATTATGATCTCATGTAGGCAAATTAGCAACCTGATCTAGTTGGAGGGAAATTATGCCTTCCTCCACTGACAAACTGATATCCTGAGATAGCGCCAAAATCTGGCATCAGAGTTATTAGTCATTTTAATGAGAGCTACTAATTGCCACCCTATGGCTTATCTTAAGGAACCCTGGTGATGTAGTGTGGGCTATGCAATGAGATGCTAAGTGCAAGGTCAGCAGTTTGAAACCACCAGCCACTTGGAGGGAGAAAGATGAGGCTTTCTTTTTCTGTAAAGATTTACAGCCTCAGACAACCACAGGGGCAGTTGTACCCGCTATGCGTCAAATTGGACCTGATGGCAGTGAGTTTTGGTTTATGGTTTATCTTTAAACAAATTTTCTTCATTTACCCTGGGAAAGGTATGTGATGTCAGTACTAACCACTAAGAGACTCCCTCAACTGATGGATCTGCGGCAGCATTCAAGAATTTCACCTGTTACACTCTTCTTCTTCAAGCCCCCCAAGGTAGCAAACAAGTGAAAGGATACCCCCAAGGTAGCAAAACCACAAGTGAACGTGGCTTCCAAGAGAAGGAATGGGTCACAAACTAACCCAATGCTACCGCATGCTACTTAGAAACACTGTCATAACATTTGTATTTCAAGAGTTATTTTTAAAAACCATTCCAGTTCCAGTATCACTTATTTTCCCTATTTTATTCATAAAGACTATAAGACATAATGGTAAGATTTTTTTCCAAGACCATTAATTTACACATGTATATAATAAAAGCTATGCCACACTATCACTATTAGTAATAGCTGAAATTACTTGACAATAATTGCCAAGCACCGTATATACTCGAGTATAAGCTGACCCGAATATCAGTTGAAGCACCTAATTTTACCTCAAAAACTGCCTTAAAAATGTGCTGAAAAACTTGGCTTATACACGAGTGTATATGGTATTATTTCTTTTCTTTTCACAATTATCATTTGGGAGTAATCACTTCAGTCACTATCCTAATTTATAGACAAGAAAATCAAGGCTCAAAAGGTGAAAAGTCTTTTTTTTTTAATTAAAAAAATGTTTGTTTGTTTTTTGGAAAGTCTTATCTAAACAATTAGTGAGAGTTGAAGTGGTCTTTGACTTGGGCTGGCCAGTTCCAGACTCTGGGCAATAAAAGAGGTTGGCTGAGGTCAGTATACCATGACTTGATGATGCACGCATTCTTCTCTTTAAAGATTATACTGTTTTATCTGAGATGCAAACATAAAACCTCACAACTAAAATTCCCTTGCAAGCAGTTTACGACAGGAAAACCTGCAACAGCTGCAATCTTTGTCAGGCTGGAACCTACCAGAGAAGAAAAACGGAAATCATTTCCCTGGAGAAGTCGCTGTGCTCCCTTGTCCGAGGTGGAAAACATGCGAGACTTGGGAAAACAAAGCCTGGGTCGTGTTCTGACTCTCCCAGGTCTCACTCTATATAATAACACTTTGGAAGGAGACTCCTTGCATCAATGAGGAAGTAGGGAAAATGATATCGGTCATTTTAAGACATGAAAAAATAATAATTTATAAATTATCAAGGGTTCGTGAGGGAGGGTGGGAGGGAGGAAAATGAGGAGCTGATACCAAGGGCTCAAGTAAAAAGAAAATTTTTGAGAATGATGATGGCAACAAATGTACAGCTTGACACAATGGATGAATGGATTGCGATAAGAGTTGTATGAGCCCCCAATAAAATGATTTTTTAAAAAGATTATACTGTTATATATTGGATTCTTGCCACCACCACCCTCGCACACACATAAACAAATATGCATCTCAAATCTCAATGTCTATGTCCACTGGTGATAATACCAGGCTGTGCCTGTTATGTTAATGAAGCAGGATCAGTGTCTTGAGTCAATCTCTTTTGATATAAAATAAAAGATTAAACAAGGAAGTAGAGCATAAACAGGGCATGAGATGCCAAGCCACCTGTTGATGGGCCAGGAGCAAACAGCATGGCTGGTGAACTCGAACCATTGATCTGTGGTTAGCAGCCCAACATGTAACCCACTACATTACCAGGGCTCCACCCTAAATTTGAACTTCTGATCTCCTAAACTGTGCAAAAATAACACAGTTCGTTAAAGCCACCCATTTGTAGTATTTCTGCTATAGCAACACCACATAACTGAGACATGCAATGCTCTGTTTTGCCAGATGAATGTAAAATTTTCATTTAAGAGTATTTTATATTAAGAATAGTTCTCTGTTCTTATCACTAAATTATTAGTCAGCTGTAACAAGAGAGAACACAAAGAGGCCCATGACATCAGGGAATTTTTATAACTCTCAGTCTTAGAATTGGGTTCACAGTGCTCATTGAGAGGCACAAGGGAAGGAACTTACACAGAAGGTTCAACCAGCAGAAGAGGAGCCAGATTAAGAATCTGTGAGCTAAAGTCTTTATTGAGGTTCTCCCAAGAGGGGGAGTGATTAGCCGTTTGAATATCACTGGGTTAGCAACAGAGGAGAGAGGATCTCAGGTGGTACAGTGGGTTAAACAATGGGATGCTAACCACAAGGTTGGTGATTCAAACCTACCAGTTACCAGTTGGAAGAAAGGCAAGGATGTCTGCTCTTATAAAGATTTATAGCCTCAGACACTTCATGGCAGTTTTACTTGACCCTAGCCTGAGAGTTGGAATCAACTCGATGGCAGTGAGTGGCTAGGTAAGTTAGCAGCACATGTAATAAGGTATGAGGTCTTATTAGAGTACATTGGTTGAGAGTAGGAGAGGTGTTTTTTGCTCTTGTGTTTTCCCCCTTGAGAAGCCAAGGGAGGCTGAGGCAATGAAACATACCTATTTTGGCCTGACTACACTCTCAAAACTTGAATGCTTTAAAACGTTTTATTGAGTAACTAATATGTGCCAAGTATTTCACATAAATAATCTTACTTATGTGAGAGAAACATTATCAATCCAGTTTAATAGATGAAGAAACTGGAGGTAATTAAGAAAAACTGCCCAAGGTCCTAAAACCATTACACTGGAAAACAACCAAAGCTGGGTCCAACTGATTCCCAAACCTAGCATTTTCAACTATGCCACACATTATACAATAAGCCCCAAATATCAACTAATCTTAATCATTATGCTTAGCCTAAAAATGGTTTCACTTCTTGACAGTTAACAGTAATAAAAGTTTTTTTGATATTTTTGTTTTAAAAATGGAAATAGCATGTGTTAATAAAGAAATGTTTCTCTTAAATCCAGTGTGTTGATTTTTTTTCTTGTATATTTTTATATGTATCTTTTATCTCCTAGTAGGTTTCCTATGTATTAAAGCCTAATGTTTTGTGATAAAAATTTAAAGTTCACTAAGACAAACTGAGACATAATTATCAATCTGTAATATATTTTCCTATATTAGAGATATAAACCTACCAAACTACACAAAATACCAAATGATTCCAGAATAATAAAATATTCTACATTTAACCTTTGCTTTTTAATGGACTGTCTCTAAGCTTATATTTCCACCATTTCACACTGAAAGTAATTGTTAGATTGTCATTTCCTGAAACACTACTAAGGGTACTTACTTTATAAATTTGTTTCTATAAAACTTTGGTGATTGAGTTTTTAATCCTACCCAACATTATTTCAACAAACACTTTTTGGGTTCTTACTGTATGCAAGGCATTGTGCTAGGATATCTGTGGTGTATATTGATAATAAAAGAGAAACAGAATAGCCCGCCAATGAAGAGTTCAAGCCTTGAAGTCACACAGGCATGGTTTAGATTCTTGGATCCATTAGTTACTAGCTACAAGGCTTAGGGTAAATTAATTTAGCTAAACTCAGTTTCCTATCTGTGCAATGATTATAGTTATACTACATATCTCAAAGGATTTTGAGGAGTACAAAATGAGATTAAGATAATGTGAACTACTGGCACAGAGAAAGCAATTGATAAATCACAGTAGCAGCTACCGTTAGTATGACTTTAAGGAATTTGTAATCTGATTGAAGAGCTAAAAGGAGGAAAGCCCTCCAGGAGATGACTAGACATGGGGGCTGTGAGGATGGACGCACACCTAGCATGATTGTGTGGTGCAGGCTGCACCACTTCCTGCTGTCGTGCCGTAAGGTTACTATGCATCTAAATCAGATGGCACCTAACAATAACAATAACATTGAAGAGCTCATATGAGCATGTCCTTTTGGGCATTTTTCCCTCCCTAAGAAATAATTCAAATATCTCCCTTTTGTTTAATCCATAACTAGCAAAAAGATAATATATACACATAATATGTGAAATATATATTTTAGATTTCTTAAACTATTAATACTCTCTCTTCTTCCATGACCTTAACGCTCTACAGATTTCCTTGTCTATATAGACTTTCCTGTCTTTCATTCAAGATCTTTTTATTGGGTCAGCTATTGGTAAAATGGGCTACTGAAGACCCCTTCAGTGTGTTGAAAAGCAAGGATGTTACTTCGCAGACGAAGGTATGTCTGCCCCAAGTCATAGTATTTTCATTCATCTCATATGAATGTGAAAGTTGCACACTGAACATGGAACACCAAAGAAAAATCAATGTGTATGAACTATGATGTTGGCACAGAATATTCAAAGTACTATGGCCTGAAGTACAGCCATAAGGAGGCGAGATTTCATTTCACATACTGTGGACATGTTGTCAGGAGAGACCAATCCCTGGAGAAGGACATCATACTTGGTAAAGTGAGTGGGCAGCAAGAAAGAGGATGG